AGAGCCAGGAATGGAGAAATGGTTTGTTCTCCTTGCCCCGTCCCTTTGCCACAGTAGAGTCAGTGTGACTGAAGGACATGACACCTTTTCTGGTAAGCCCCCGCAGCCACTCCTGTGACGGGCTGGCCACCCGCCCAGCTAGGAGCCAGAAGGAGGAAGCAGGGCTTGACACCCCGCTGGCGCTCCAGGGCCACCACCTTGGCAGCGTACTCGGCGAAAAGGGTGTGGAAGCCCTCATCCCGGAAGGCCTGGCTCAGGTGCACTGCCTGTCAGCTCGAGGTCCTCCAGGATCATATGGGCCGCCATGGCAAAGCTGCCTCCCCTCCGCTCAAGGCCAGGCTCGCCCAAGAGGTAGGTGTGTCATGCACATGCACGAGGGGCGTGTCATGCTTGCATGCAATCTTGACACACCCCTCTGCAAGCACAACACACCCACCTAGGAGCATGACACGCCCACCCGTGAGGGCGGGGGTGCCTCCGCCCCCCCAACCGGTCCGCACACACACTTCACACGCCCCAACCGGTCCCCAGTCCGAAAAAGGTTGGGGACCACTTACTTACAATGACAATAAATTATATGACCATGACAAGGGGACAGACACAAGGTCTGTCACCATCAGATCATTTAAATATAATTAAATACAATTGAAGTTATTCTGTTTTCCTAATAACTGTTTTAGTAATGTAAAAACATTTTCAGTTTGGATGTACTATCTACACTAAAACAATTATATTGTTATAGGATGCATCTTTAAGTGCTTCGAAGTTTCTTTTGATTCTTTCATGCTCATTTAGTTGTCACCATTTAGGGTTATTAGTGAAGATGAATGGTTTGTATGATAACAATAATATGGATTGTACATTGGTAACCAGAGTATGTAACCAAATGAACAGGAAAATAGCTTTCTAACTAACTGTCTTTGATTTTTAGAGGGGAAAAGCGTCTATTTTCATGGATAATACTGAGTTTTTTATGTCTTTCTTATGGTTAAATATCTCATACACAGCAAATGCTGCTATAAAGCAAATAAAAATAATTAAATATGTCTACGTCATGTGGAAATGTTCCAGTAACTGGAGAGATTCTAGATCACTTTTAGGAGTAGCTACTTTCTACAGGGAATCATTAAGACAGTCTGGTTGCTTCACTGATTCTGTAAAGAAACTTTTAAAAACTAAAGTAAAGAAATTGTCTGATCAGTGTCTGAATTATAGATGAGTAGGTTAGCTCAGTTCCTATAGTGTTTTTATAAGGTTATAGTACAGGCATACATCATTTGACAAAAATTGGGGGACCAGGAAGCTTGGATTCCATCAACCCTTTGCTGTTCTGCCATAAATCAAGCAAAAGAAAGGGTTCCCTATTGTTGCTTCTGCTTATGGGTAGTGCAACAATAAAATCTTAGGCTAATTGGACACACTGACCATTTGTGTCCAGTGTGCTAAGACATGAATTTTTTCTAATTATCTAAACTCAACCTGGATCCTGTGTATTTATTAGTTAGAATGAATATAGGGACAACTTTATCTTATAAAAGAAATGACTTTGTAGATAACATAATGTTAAAATGATGTCTGCAGGGAACATGTGAAAATGTATTCAAAATTTCTTGGAATTGTTTGAAACAGAAATCTTGGAATATGAATGCTGCTTCATGAGTCTGTGTATTTACTTAAAAAATTAAAAAATTACTCAGTGCGGTCAGAAAAGTGGCTAAGGCATTAAACCCTTGCTGTACTTTATGAAAAGTATTTCAATATATTTGCATTGAAGAAATTTCTGTTCCTCTTTTTCTTTCCCCCAGGTATATGCTGGGCCTCTCAGCAGCTCCAGCGGTAATACAGTTTTTTGGCTTCCTCTTTCTTCCTGAAAGTCCCCGCTGGCTTATTCAGAAAGGGCAGACTCAGAAGGCACGAAGAATTCTGTCTCGGATGCGAGGAAATCAAGCAATAGATGAAGAGTATGATAGCATTAAGAATAATATAGAAGAAGAAGAAAAAGAGGTTGGCGCAGGTAGCCTGAATGTCTGTTGCTTTATTTGCATCTTTTGCTTGTATAAAATAAGCCCTGGTATGATTTTTCAGGATGCTCGTAATATAAGCCCTACCCCAAAAATAAGCCCCAGTTAAGTGAAACCCCGCCCTCTACCATTGTGCAGCAACCAGAAGATGACATGACTGTATTTGAATAAATGTAGGTTGTTGTACATGGAAAAAAATTAAACATTCCCTGAAAATGCATTTTTGGAGCAAAAATTAATATAAGGCCCTGTCTTATTTTTGGGAAAACGCGGTAACAGCCCATAGGGATTAATTAGTAAGAAAAATTTTAAATTTTTAGAGTTAACTTCATACAGTTTGACTGGTTAACATGGAAGTACTACTAAATATCAGTGCCTCATAAGCTTCACATAAAATAGCATTTTACAGTGATCAGGATTTCATTTCATGGGTGGAAATTTCAGCAGCAGATTGATGTTAATGAAGAAGTTGATGTATGTATTTTGTGTCACACACCAGTCCTGTGACTTAGCATATGACAGCAAATGAAAATACTGGCTTTTTAGCTAGTGGGGCCTCACTGCTGCCATTTGTGCTGTTGGACTTACGCTGATGTAATCCTTCAGTCAGATTCTCGCCATCATATTTTAGACATTTCTTTTTCATGGGCTGTGAGAATAGAAATTTATATATAAAGTTAAACATAAAATATTGTTGCATGTAGCATATAAATACATTAAATATAATGTATATGCATCTATTTATACATGTATGCATTTGCCTACATATGAAAACAAATCTGTGCAATAAAGTTGCACCAATATAAAGGAACAAAAAAATTGCCTTTAAATGTTTTTCCCCTCTTTTTTTCATTAAAATGTCATTTCATTTGTGGTTTTCAACTTTATTTTTTAAAAGCATTTAGTAATGAAAAACAGTAACTACTTCCACTTGAACTGTGCCTTGTAGAGAGATCGATGTCTTTTTTAAAAAATGATTCAGAAATAATCTTCCATCAACTGGTACTGTATATACAAATAAGTGGGTCTTGTATTGTAAAGAATGGATTACAAATGAAGCTTCAGTTAGAGCCTCTTTGCTTACTCCCTATATTAGAAAATAATATTTGGTCTGAATCTTGGACTCATCTGAATTCTGGAACCTGTCCATAACACCACCATTACCACCCCTGCATGAAGCACTTCAGTCCATTAACATACAATGTAACAAAGGGATTTCATTACAGATGCATCCCTCATCCCCTTGTAGTTCCATGTTCCTAACTAATGCTTTCCTGTATAGGATAGTTAGCAACTATCTTAAAGCAATGTACTTTTATGATACTTTGAAAATGAACAAATGTACAGTGATGCCTTGCAAGACAAAATTAATTTGTTCCGCGAGTCATGTTGTATTGCGAAAATTTCATCTTGTGAAGCGCAGTACTAACGGTTGTGCAATTTAAAACAAACCCCAAAAAAGGGGGGGAAATCGTCTTGCGAAACACGGCCACAGAAAAATTCTTCTTGCGAGTCACCAAAAATGTGCAAACTGCTTTCATCTTGCGAATTTTTCATTGCGTGAGGCATTCATCTTGCGAGGCATCACTGTATTATGGTGGAAGCTTCCATGGATGGGAACTTCTCAACATATGGGTGCAGTGAGGTTATATGTCTTATTTCCCAAGTTTTACCAGGCTTGTCTAGAAAAATGGGCAATGTTTCTTTTTCTGAAAATGGCAAGTAGGGGTGGGTGAAGGAGTATAGAGGGCATGTCAAAAATAGGAGGGGTGGCTTAAGTCTTCCCTCCAGATGTACACAATTGTACATGTGGTTCTCTCCTCTGGCACATACTGACCTTCTTTCTACTTAAGGGATCTGCATTAGGATCTTAAAATACCCCTTCATGTTCATGTAGTATGCTTTTTCCCCTGCTAAGAGAGGAGGAATGACTGTTTCTCCTTAGCACCATGTCTCTTCCTTACATTTTGATTGCTTATTGTAGAGGATTGAGCCTTATGTTACTTAACAGTGGAAGTGTTATTTAATAAGTTTAAGTTTAGGAGCTAGTTAATCATCAGAAAACAACAGAGCTGTGCTTCTCTGATACCGCTGCTGTCTTATTAAAGTAAGTCTGAATAAATACTTAAATAAAGTTAGAAACTAGTTAATGAATTGTGTTGAATGAAATATTGGTTAAACAGCTTCCAAAGAAGTAGCAATGTTGGTCTGTATCAATATATAAAATGGCTGCCGGCCATTAAGAAGCTTCGCTGAACGGTGAGTATTTGGCCCATTTGGAACGCATTAAACCATGTTTAATGCGTTCCAATGGAAATCCCTGCCCTGTTAAACAATGCTTCAGCATAGCGAAGGTTAATCCGGAACGGATTAACCTCGCTATGCGAGGCACCACTGTATTGGCAAAATAAAGAAGGAAGGAAGAAAACCATAGAGCACAAATTATTGTGGGGCTTTGAAGACCAAAAGTTTACTTTGATGTTGGTTTTTATGCATCAATATCCACTTCTTCAAATGCATCATTTCTTTTATCTGAATAAGTGGATTTTGATCAACAAAAACTCATACTGTAACAATCTGCTAGTATTTGCGAAGGCTTTCACGGCCGGGATCTAATGGTTGTTGTAACCATAGAGCACAAATTATTGTGGGGCTTTGAAGACCAAAAGTTTACTTTGATGTTGGTTTTTATGCATCAATATCCACTTCTTCAAATGCATCATTTCTTTTATCTGAATAAGTGGATTTTGATCAACAAAAACTCATACTGTAACAATCTGCTAGTATTTGCGAAGGCTTTCACGGCCGGGATCTAATGGTTGTTGTGGGTTTTTCGGGCTCTTTGGCCGTGTTCTGAAGGTTGTTCTTCCTAATATTTCGCCAGTCTCTGTGGCCGGCATCTTCAGAGGACAGCATTCTGCTAGTCTTTGTGGTGACACAATATTATGTCCTTGCTTTTTTCTTTCCTTTAGCTTTATTTTGCTAATATATTGTTTAATGAATTACCTTGAAATACATTTGATGTGTAACACCCTAACAGCCCAATGAGTTCTGGGCCAGCTGAACTGACCCCACTCTTTCTATATACTCTGGGCTTGCACTAGTCTGATTAGCTACATGTGTATCCATCAATGTGCTGCTGCTCAACCTTAACCTCTCCCCCTCATCATGGAATTTGATGGAAATGGCTTTCTTTGATCACAAAAGACAAACTATATATATACCATATTTTTCGTTCCATAAGACGCACCTCTCCATAAGACGCACCAAATTTTTAGGAGAAGAAAACAGGAAAAAAATATAGTGGTGCGTCACAAAACGATTGCTTCATACAACGATGAATTCACACAGC